ACCAGAGACAACTGTAAAGTCATCAGAGGTCTCTCCACTCAGCTGCACCCTCGCTCGCATACCACTGTGCAGACATTCAATTAAACTTACAAACTTACGCGGGCAACCAAACTTACCCAACACCAGCCACAGTGCCTCGCGGTTCACCGTATCAAATGCCTTGGTGAAATCAACAAAAAGCGAGTACAATGGCTGGTGCCGTTCTCTGCACTTCTCTTGCAACTGACGAGCCGCAAACACCATATCTATAGTGCTGCGACCCGAACGGAATCCACATTGCTCTTCCGCCACGTTTGGTTCCACAATCTGACTGACGAGGCGATTGAGCAGGATTCGGGCAATCACCTTGCCCACACAACTCAGCAAGTTGATGCCACGATAATTCATGCAACATTGCTTGCTACCTTTGCCCTTGTTCAGTGGTAGCACAAAGACATCTTTCAGCTCAGCAGGCACCTCCTCCATCCATGCGCGTTATACCAAGTGGTGCAGCGCAGTCATCAACGCGGGTCCGCCGTGTTTCAATATTTCAGGCGGGATCCGGTCGGCCCCGGCACACTTGCCGTTTCGCAGCTGAGCAAGTGCTCTCTGCGTCTCATCCAGTGTCGGCGTGTCCGCCAGACTCGCCTTCACATCGTGCTGCTTGAGGCCGTTCAATGTAGGCCAGTCGATATCTGAACGGTTGTTCAAGAGACAGTCAAAGTGTTTCCGCCAGATCTGCATTATGTCTGCAGTCTGTGTGTAGGTAGCGCCTGAACTACCATTGATCAGCGTCCTCAGCAGTTCCAATCTCGTTCCATACACCGCCTTTAAGGAGTCAAAGAATTCCTTGTGTTGGCGGCGTTCGGCGTAGCATTCAATCTGCTTCGTCTTCTCCGTCTACCATGCATTTTTAATGCGACGGAGCTCTCGGGTCAGTCGCGGTCGTAGTTTGAGAAACTGACTCTTCTTCCCCAAGTCACTGGGGTCTGCCACATATGCAGCAAACGCTGCATTCTTCTCCGACATCAATGCGTTAATCGTCGCATCGTTCTCATCAAACCAATCAGGACGCTTACAGTTGGCGCGCCCGATGGTCTCCTCGGCAGCAGCTGTCACCTGGTCGCGAATGTGGTGCTACAGGTGGCCCCCTGTGGCTATGCAGTCCACATCACACAGGCGTGCATCCATCGCCTTCTCCAGCGCAATACGTTTCGCCACAGTACCGAAGGAGGGAATGTGAAATTTATGCGGATTCACGGCGGGAGTGCAATACATAGATTTACGAAAATATATGTACAGTTTTGACCGCATCAATTTGTGATCAGTGCCACACTCAGCTCCACGCAGCACACGTGTCATGCGCACTTCACGCATATCATGCTGACGTACGATGACATAGTCGAGCAGGTGAGCTTGACCACTCCGTGGGTGCGTCCAAGTTGCTATATCACTCGCACTCAGTGCAAACCGAGTGTTCGTGATCGTCAGGCCGTGAGTGGCACACAGTGAGAGCAGCCTGTCACCGTTCGCATCCGCTGAACCAATGCCAAGCGAACCCATAACATCTGTTCACACCGATGCATCACGCCCAACGCGCGCGTTGAACTCACCCGGGAGAAATAGTCGGTCATTCCTCAGCACAGACCGTATCACGGAGGATAGCTGAGTGTAGAATTGATCATGCGTGTCATCAGGATACCACATGGTCGGACCGTACGTTCTTATAAAAGTGGTAAACTTACCTCTTCCGAGTCGTAGGCGAACAGTCATCAGTCGCGCGCTGATGCCTGTTGGTTCGCCCACCAGCTGGCCATGGTGGTGATCGGATATTGCAAATCCGACCCCATGATCACGTGGTGCTGAGGCGGCGTTGGCCACCCAGTAGAATGTGTAGCCAGCACCTGTTTCATGCAACTTACCTTGCTCAGCGAGCCGGGTTTCACTGAGCGCCGCAATATCGATGTGGTAGTGCGCCAGTTCCATCGCGACCATTGCAGTGCGTCGCTCGGAGCGCTCACTCGAGTTCTGGTCCAGTAGTGTGCGCACGTTCCATCACCCGATGCTGAGTGCTTTGCGCGCAGGCGTACGATTGCATTGGTGGGCAATCGCACGCGATGTGGCGGTTATGCTTCGGAGGTTTGCTTGAGAGACCACTCGGAGGATTTGGCTCAATAGCCTGACCCACAAGGCAGTGGGTGGTTTGGAGGTTTGCTTGAGGGACTCCGTCCGGAGCCTTTGGCTCAATAGTCTGAGACACACAGCAGTGGAGAGCAGATCCAACTCGTTAATTTGATTGCAGAGACAGAGTGGGATCTGCTTGACCGCCGTCACACGCTAGAACGATTGATATGTTTTGCGACCATAGTAGGATACACCTGCGACCACGGCCAGACGCAGGTTGGTTTTGGCGAGTTTCCACCAATTTGACCAGGGACTGTCTGGCTTGATGCGGGCAGTAGCAAACCATTGAACACCTGGAGGTGCCCTCTCACCGTCAGAGACAATGCGTGGCGCTCGTGCTCTACGCCAATCGAGCTGTGAGCTTATAACCCGTAGACCTGTTGTCTCCCATGGCTAGGTTTGACGGCAAGAGGGCCATCGACCACTTCCTGACCTCGGTAGAGGATGGACTAGGATACTGGCAGCTCGCCTAAACCTGACACGAGAACGACTCAGATCCTCAGCTAAAACCTTAGGTTAAATGTGCACTTGAAGGGCAGCTTGTCTAGCACATTGTCAGTTCACTGACTTATGCGGATTGATGTCCTGACTCTTAGCAGGGAGAAGGACGAAACCCATGCTGAGGCTGATGTTGCATTCTTGATGCTTCTTCACCGCAGTTGGGCTAAACCAACTTACACTTAAACTAGGTCTTTTTAAGCTGGCTAAATTTCATTCCGCTTTACTTGGTTTGTTCTGTCTCCCTGAATAATGTTCTATTAACTGGCCACGTTGCTTACACTAATTGCGCTTATCTTCGGTATTTTTGTTGCGTTTGTAGCATTTTAAGTAACTTGTGGACATTTCTTACTTATCACGGATTTGTTGCTAACCAACTTACTTCATATGGTAATTTAGCGAAGAGTTATGCCACCGTATCTGTATGCATTATTGGATTTATTTTCTTTCAGCTTGTCGTTTAAATTGTATGTGGCTGTTGTTTGATATCCCTGGTATGGTTGCGCTTGATGTGTATGTTGACAAGGTGCCTACCTGTCTATTACCCACTACATCGTTCATACTGGCTCCAGGAGACAGTTGGTCGTTGCTGGAGGGGACGGGGTGCACGGTTCTTGTGGCCGTGCTAGACTCAAAGAGCGGTTCCATGCACTCAGTGTGGAGCGGACTACGGTCCAGCCACCGCCTTGTGTGCGGTTGATTCCCCAAATACAGCGTGCTTGTGTTTGCCTGTGAAGGAGTGTGGGCCGGCTCCGTTGATGAAACGTGGTTCCCATCCGCATGCCTCCCGGTCTTATTCCTTCGGGTTTACACTGGATATGGGGTATGTGGTTGGAGCTGTGGGTGGTGCAGCGCAAGCCATCCATGGTCCCTCTGTAGGCGCAGACGTCCTGTGGCTTGCCACAGTGACAGGCAAATCCGAAACCGGATGCCGCCAACCATATATATATATATATATATATATATATATATATATATATATATATATATATATATATATATATATATATATATGTTTGTCTACCAGATTTCGTTTTCTTACCGTACTTTTTAAGCATAACCTAACCACCATGGTGATGTTGGGAATTGCCAGGAATGACCGAGACGATAACAAAGCCTTTCGTTTCGTGACAGAGAAAGTTGCAAAAAGCTTACCTGGTTAATTTTCTGGAACCTACGGGCGAGTGTGCGGTCGCCTCCGTTCTGCATTAACTCGGAAAGTGTTTTCCACCAGTAATTGTTTTGGTTCGCTTGTCTGCACCTATGGAGGATAATTGCGCCTCACACGATCTTTTTGGCGTCTTTTTTCTATTTAATGCCACTACTTGGCGTCCTGACGCCATCAGGAATCCACACACTTTGAACACGCTACCTTGAATTTCACGATAAAAGCTAGTCGACAGTATCGCTGGAAAGGCCATGAACAGCGCGGCTCCTTAGCCATGAAATCAAATACTGTACCCCACAAGAATGCGGAACTAATTACTAACAGCTTGTAAATAACTGAATACGGACGTCGAACATGCGCGATTCTAGCACAATTCCGTAAAAACAACGTGCGGTTCGTCGTAACTAATCAACGAATATTGCTTCAAATGTCACATATACCCACCAATGACTTCACCATACTCATCGTTTTACACGACAAATCAAGCAAAGGGAACCGGTCAATAGTCTGAAGCGTACTTATGAATGGGTCGTACACACCGGCTAAATTCACCTCAGTGTTTAAACGGTGTACTGTCAGCGACAGTGGAACACAGCCAAGGCTGGGAAACAGTTTTTTATAGTGCACATAAGCTTAATGTTTGTGGACGGAAGACGGGGTTGACAGCTACCTTAATGCATCAAGTTTGTGATCGATGGCACACAAGGGTTGGGGTGGGGCAAGAGAACAGAGTTGGGATCGATGGCACACCAAGTGTTAGGATGTAGGGCGTCACAATTCTTCTTATAATGTCTTTAACTACACTCGGTTCTGAATTTCATTCTGTCGCTCGAGTAGCTTTTAATGCTGGCCACACATAATGCGTTCATTTATCTTCTCGCTGGAACGAAACTGCTTGTTCTTTCAAGCACTAAAAGCGCACTGTTAGATCTAATTGGCTATTATTTTGATTGACTTTTGACAAATATCCGTGCACAATCGTGTAGTTACAGTACTGAGAAGCAAGACTCAAATTGACGACTCGAATGACCAACGACAGAGCTTGTCCGTGTAGTTCGCGATAGATTGCTTACACACAGTAGTCCCCTAGTTGTCCCCTCATTTTGCTCAGCACAGACAAACTGGAATTTCATTTCTTTGTCTATCTTTTTCTGCCACTCCCCTCGTTTAGCTCACCTCCCATCCATGCAACGAAGTTTGTGAGCGGCTCCTCACTTGCCGACGGCACGTTTGTGAAGAACCTTGTCACCCTGGTCCCTGTGGCTCGTGCTGGAGGGGAGTCATATATACTGAGATTTATTGTCGCTGTGGTTCCGCGGTCCTGCACCCTCCTCAGCCGTGTGGATCTTCGCCTCCCGAGTGTACGCAACCTTGTGACCGTCCCCACGATTGTGCTCACCCGGTGCGCCACACCTGCCACAACGAGCCTACATGCCCCCCTTGCGCAGTGTTGCTGACGAAAGAGTGTCCCGGCGGTAATTTTCTCCTACCAAAGGTTCATTTTGATGTATTGATATTATCTTCTCGGCTATGACACAGGCAGTAACCGAGGGATATGCTTGGTCTTGCTAAGTCAAATCAATGTAGGTTTTATATACTCCATTGGGTTCTTTTTCAGCATCTTACTGTGGATGTTTTAAAGCAATATCAATAAAGATGCGCAATTTTCAACTGGAAAATGTCATTATGAGTACAAGTGTCACTTGAATAGACAGTCCCGAATCTGCCTTCTGTTGAGAGTGCGGTATCGAACCTGACTTTATCGATCCGGACGAAGATTCTTTGTTACAAAACGCCTTCGGATAATATGACGCAATACACGTAATATTTCAGTCAAAAAATCGGCGAAAGACTGCCTTAGTGACCTAGTAACTAGTGTAACTGAAGCAACTGGCAAAAAGCTCAGTGAAAACTGATAAATTCGCAGCAGATAAGAACGATGTTCCAGTGAAAAGGCAACGGCCATATTAAATTTCTCACCACTGGCTGACTTCGGTGCCCAAGTATTGGACTTAAAAACAGACCGTCTTCAATCTGTTGGGTACCACTTTGAGGCTGTTTCGAGATACTTTTATACCAATTATCCACTTGCGGATCATGTTACATATATAAGCTTGTTAAACTTCGCTGATCTAGAGCGCAGAGGCTGGCAATTGAATACAACTGAGACCATTTCAGTTGCTCCGTTGTATTCCGTTCACCGAAGTTCGGTTATCTCACTCGTCCTAAGTTACGACACCGTAAGAGGGAAAATCCGACAGGTGGGGAAAGGGAGGGCGAGCACTACATGGGACACAGCTGGCAGAGATCAATCAACTGGATGGAACACCTAGATTTTAGAAACAAGGGAGCAAATTCGAGAACAGATCTCACTACCTCATTATAACCAAACGGGCTTCGAGCCATTTGCGCACGGACACCGAGTACCCCATCCTATTGAGATTGAGAAACAGAATCCACGGACAGTTAGCAATCTAAATTCTTGTGTCAGACAGCTAGTGTAGGCCCCACTCTCAGTAAAGCTAGAACCAAAGAGATAAGTACGCATCAAGATAGAATCTATCAGACACGACGACATATGTCCTTTGCACAGACACACCTTACTAGTTATACTCCGATTGATCAAGTGTTTTGACCTCAGGTCATCACTAGTCTGTTGGTCGATGCGTTTCCTGTCTTTTCGGCTTGCTAATGAGTAGTGGAGCTTTGGGTATAATTTCAGGGGTAGTTCGTCGCGGTTCGCTCTCAGCCAGCAGGTTTCGACACGTCTGGAAAAGCACCAGACAGCTGTTTCCACTGTATGGGTTTCGTCAGTGTTGCGCCTTCCTCTAACCCCTTCCGGGTTCCGATCCCATAACTTCCGGATGTCAGCAGCTTTTGCCGCCAAGTCATGGATGACGTCCGCGGACCTGCATGACTGTCAGTTGACTACGATATCACCCGGTTGACCCTTAGGTATCAGCTGACTTTGACCTTTTGGTTTCACCTCCTTCTGACGTTTGGGACATATGCTTGCTTTGACCTCTAACCGCGAGGTCCGTTGATCTATGCTCAACGATACGCACCTACTTATCCTGAATGTCCTCGATTCGGTGTTGTTGAATTCATAACAAGGTGGTAATATTCTCACTGTATCTAGCTACAGGGCAAGTAAAAACGGCGATTGTGCCCTCAGATATAGCGTGTACGTTAAGTCTTGACACATAGGTGCAAATGCATACATTTGCATACATTTTCGACACGACGTCCTTCATTTTGACTGATCCACTTGATCGCCTAGAACGGGGTTTGCCCATGGTGTTGTCTGCTTCCTTGAGCTTCTTAATCATCCTCGCCACCTTCAAAAAACCAATTAAAATTCTCCTTGGCGACACATTGCATTCATCTGCTATCTCTCGATATCGCCATCCTTCATGTCCACTGAAAAGTACCAGTTCAACTTGCTCTTCCTTTGACAAAAACCTGTTAATTATTTTATATTTCGTCTCCAATTCTATATATATATATATATATATATATATATATATATATATATATATATATATATATGATTGGCAGCTTCAGGTTCCGGATTAGCTTGTCACTGTGGCTTCCACAGTGACACAGGACGCCTGCGCCTACAGAGAGACCATGGATGCCTTGCGCTGCACCACTCCCCGCTCCATCTACACACCCATATCCATTGTAAACCCGAAGGAATAAGACAGAGGCATGTGGATGGGAGCCCCGTTTCATCAACGGAGCCGACCCACCTTCAGCATGCACAGCAGAAGCATTCATGTCTATCTGTGTATTGAATCATGCGTATCAGATAAACACAAGGTGGTGGCTGAGCCGTAGTCCGCCCCAACTGTGTGCTGGAACCGCTCTTTGAGCCTATCACGACCATGATGACCGTGCATCGCGCCCCCAGCAACGATTCATAGCCTCCTGAAGCCAGTTATCGAGATGGAGAGTGTTAGACAGATAAACCCCTCGTCAACATTCGCATCAAGCGCTGCCACACCAGGGATATAAAACAACCAACATAGAATTTAAGGGAAAATAAGCACGAAACATTTACACAACCTATACAGCAGAGTGACATAATGGAACAAACCAAATAATGAGGAATGGCTTATTCAGATTAAAAGGACCTAGATTAAGTGTAACTTGGCTTAGCCTAACTGCGGTGTAGTAGCATTATGAATGCATCATCCGCTATCCAACCTGACCCGTATATCGACGCTCGTCACACTGGCCGGGTTAAGATTACTCTCCTTTACGCAGTCGAGAGTTTCACCCCCTCCATTCTATCTACACAGCTATCGGCTTAAGTGAGTTCGATCGCCTGGGCAATTAACCTCTGGGGCTTTGCTCGTGAACCCATCTTAACGATCTCGTAATTATCGACGCACCTTAAGATTACCGACATCAGTGCTAAGCCTGAATCTAGTGGTAACTACTGCAATGCAGTTACTTTGTCAGATAGGGTTTTGAATGCAACTGAATGTAGATTTTTGGAGAAGGGTTTGAACTTTACTATTAGCAAGTCTCTGTTATACACAGAGGAGGTACTTCCTAGCGTTAAAAGCGTGGTAACGAAACGATCCGAAGTAAGAGCGAAGAATGTACGTGCACAGCTAGTGAATATTATTGAATTTCAGAAACGGGGGAGGTTCAACCTTGCACCAGCTTAAGGTATCACGTTGAGCGTCTTAAAAGAAGATTGCAATATCGTAATTGCCTAGGCTGAAAAGGCAACAACAACTATGGTGATGAATAAATCGGATTATTTGAAAAAAATGAAACAGCATTTGGAGACAGGACCGTATAGGTTAGTTGGGAATAAAACCGTAACGATGGTGCTGGATAAGATTAAAATGGAGGTTGTTAACTATTTGAGAGTCGTAAAGGACGCTTTAGGGGTAGGTGAATGATGTAGTCTCTATCCGAAATCTACTCTGCCTCCTAGGCTTTTAGGGCTACCAGATACATAAGGCTGGCGTTCCCTTGCGGTCTACGGTCGACGGTATACGATCTCCGACTCACGAACTCGCGAGATATTTGGCGGAAATATTGAGCTCCTGATAGGGCGTACGAGTATGCTCGTGACGAACTCGTACGAGTTTGACTGAGAGATAGCATGGCTCACAATTGAGCCAGATGAACTAATGGCAAGCTTTGATGTCACCCTGCTTTTTACTAATTTACCCAAAGATGAAACGCTAGAGTTAGCAGGACGCTGCCTAAAGGAGGGCAGCGCACTGGGTGTGAGAACAAGGTTACACTTGGTCAAATCGTGCATGGCATGACATTATTTCAGAAAACTTGGTAAACGACCGGTTAATGTATTTATGATACACAACGTTTCGCATTTGACACAAATGCTTCATCAGGCCCTTTGTGTCAAATGCGAAACGTTATGTATCATCATAAATACATTAACCGGTCGTTTACCAAGTTTTCTGAAATGATGACTTCCCGATCGGTTCCAAATATGTTCCAAGATATTGAGGGCATGACATTATATCTTAACGTTTTCTGTTTCGTTTTCCTGTCGCAGCTGTACACCCAAGAACAAAGTGCGGCCACCTACTCGCCATTATCCTCTGCATTGGCGAATTTGGAAGACTTCGAGAAGGCGCTAGTAAACTCCGGTAGCTCACTGGGAGTTTGGTGGCTCTATGCAGACGGCACTTTCGTGATAATTAAAAGGGATAGGAAGGCGCACTTGCTAAACCATTTAAACTCCACTGTCGGGAGAATAAAATTCACTATGGGCTCGAACTCGTCCAGTGGTATACCATTCCTTGACAGCCTGGTTCATAGAAATGGAGGAAATTTGAGAACAACAATCTACCGTAAGCCAACAGATACCGATGGGATACTCCACTTCACTTCAGATCATCCAAAACACGTTTACGCGGAGATAGCCTCATCGCTGTTCCACAAGGCCCAGACCCTGTGCACAACGGAAGTAGATAGAAGGGCTGCACGGAAAGAGGCGATGACCAGACTACTAGACAGTTATCCCGACATCTAATGAAATGTCGGTTACAAAAAGTACTAAACCCACAGACAAGGACCACAACGCAGTGGGTAGGAACGATGGGAATTTCTTACAAAGAGGGAACCTTGAAAGCAATTCGGAAGGTATTGAACAAGGAGGATATAAGCGTGCTCTTCAAGCGTGGCTAAAACTTGAGTTCAACGCTGGTGAGCCTGAAGGACCCCCATCCCACAGATGGGACGACGAACTGAGTGTACTAAATCGACTGCAAAGACTTTGCACACATATACATTGGTCAAACATCGAGAGAGCTACAGACACGGATCTTAGAACATAAAAGGTGCATTTTGCGACCGCTGAGGAATGAGCTTGAATGCAGAGCTCTGTTAAGAGATTCCACCATTGCTGTACTTGCGCTAGATACTGGGCATCAGATCGACTTGGGTAATTTTAAGATCGTTAGGAAGGGTTTACGGGCAGAGCCCCGGAGGTTAATTGCCAAGGCAATCGAAGTCGCTAGACCTGATTACCGTGTGAATAGAATGGAGGGGGTGGAATTCTCGACTGCATGGAGAGCAATCTTAACCTGGCCACTCTGACGATTGTCGATACGCCGGTCAGGTTGGATAGCAAAAAGTGACATCACCACCATCTTCACCAAGGCGTTAATTGAGAATGTGACAGACTATGAAACCCCGACAATCGCCCCATTCTGACTAACCACTTGAGATGACCTTTCCGTCTGTGTTTGTAAGCGTCTCTTGACTCATATCACAGTTGTCACAATTATCTCCCTCACCCGCTATAAAATGCCACACCAACTATGTACCAATTCACCTGGCCTAACGAAGCTTTTGTGTCAAAAACGTAATGTTGCCAATTAACTGAACTAACCGATTGTCCACAAATCTCACTGAAACCCACAGACTCACTTCTGGAGGAAGGTCGATTAGTTGGCTGGAACAGTGAGCGCCTCAAAACTGCTGCCATTATCTCGCATACCGTGGTTGTTTGGTTTTGCTTATTAAACCGCGTTTCCTGACTGTCAAGCTAAGGCGTTGAACCGGTGAGGTTGAAACAAGCCTACGTATTGTAACTTTTCGGGTGGCTGCAACTCGCTCACTAATTCGCACAAATCGATCGCTCACCCTTCAGCTACGCCTGGTAGTTCGTACGGGGCCCTGCATGTAGCCTTTATCACTGTTTACAGTCTTACAAACAAGTGTGATGGGGTGTGTCGTTGTGTTGCTTTTGGGCGACCAGTGAAGTGGTTTAACGATGTAGTATTCCCAATAATTTGAGCTTAGTTGCTAGTCATGCTTCCGTTTTGATAAGCTATAGAATGCCCACGGTGGCATCTTGCTCTACATCCGATCTACTATTTGGGAGCTCCCACCGAAGCGACGAATGGTCTATGTGAGCAGTTGTGGTGCCAGATCCACCACAGGTGGGGGAACCTACTTGTTGATGCATTTTATCCCAGTCCCCTAAGCTGTTGTTTGGATTGGCTGCCGCATCTCCGGACCACATAAATCACCCCCATTTCCTACTCCTAAGCCATTTCAATTGCTGGCCTAACGTTTAACTTTGGGTATTGTGAGGTTCAAGCCAAAGTAACTGAAATTGTACTTGAAACTGAGGCAGCACAACACCTCTGTCAACCAACGCGCATAACACCGCGTTCAACTTGGTCATTTTTAGACTTGATTTTAACTAGTTGTGAACAAAATGTGTGTGACCTTCGGGTCCTGGAGCCTCTGGCAGCTAACCATCACTCACTTGTTATTGCCAACATGCAGTTGCCGCTGCAGCAGTCCGACGCATTGCAGCCAGTTCGCAACTACTGGAAAACGGATTTCGATGGACTGACTATAACCGCAAGCCAGATGGTTCGGTGTCTGTCACAATGTGCATCTGTTGAACCTTCCTGGCCGGATGGAATTAACACATTGTGTAACTGGTTTGTGCAATCAAATGTCGGAAGGTCGGACCGGTCAGGCCATATTGATCTGCCAAGGAATATGAGAAACCGGCTCGGCGGCGGTTCAGGCCGAGGCAAATTCCTTATATCGGGCTCGGTCAACGACTACGAAGTGTATAAAAAGCAGCGAAACATTTGCTACAGTGTGAAAAGGAGGAACCGTGGACCTTTCGAAGAGCAGCTCGCAACTGCACTAGATACCGCTCCGAAGAGGATCTTTGCGTACGTGAAGCGGCGCCCGAAGCCGACAGGTGACCTACAAGTAATGGACGGCTCTGGCGAACATCATCTAATCTCCAGCACTGAGCGTGCGTCCGTATTGGCGGCGCACTTCACTTCCGTGTTTTCAAATGACCGAGTTCGTCGTGCACCGCTCTTATCGAACTCGACAGTCGTGATTGTATTGTGGAATAGATTCATCAACTACTCGCCAACCTTGACGGCACCAGGTATGCTGGACCTGACGGGCTCCATCTCCTAATTCTTAAGTCCTTTACTGGCCATCAACTCCTCTGCTGTGATTGCTCCGTTCAGCGAGTCGCTGTCCGAACCTTCTTTTCTGATTGATTGGAAATATTCGGTAATAAGGCCGACTCCGAAAGCTAGTGGCCATAGAAAATTAGACGCCGATTTTGACCGGGTTGCCATGGAGACTGTGAAGAAGAGTTTGTTGCAACTGTTCCGGTCAAAAGATCTCACGATGCCTGCACAGCATGGTTTCATGCCAAGTCTCTCATGCATTACAAATCTGTTGGTGACGAGGTTGCATGTAGTGAACCAGGAGAAGTATGTCAACGTTACCTGCTTCGATTTCAGCAAAATGTTCGACAGGGTGAACCATGAGGTCCTGCTCCACAAGCTGAGAATGTGTAGTGTTGGCGGCTCACTACATCTGTGGATCCGCGAGTTTCTCGGTGGACGAAACTGGAGTTTACCAGTCGATAGTCATCTCACCAGCTTGTATCTTTCGACCATTGCTGATTTATATAAACGATCTATTTCAGCTTCTTCGATTGCAGTTTACTCTGTTTGCAGACGACCTGAAGATGTAGAGAGTGATAAGCACTTCTGACGATTGCTGCCTACTTCAGCAAGACCTCAACCGCCTCTTCATGTGGTCTGAAGAAGTCCGCCTGCCGGTCAACCCATTCAAATTGATATTCATGAGCGTGGAGAAGTTTGATGCGGGCCGAACCTACACTCATACCGGCCAGCTGCTCCATCCCCTACCTTCAATGAAAGGCCTAGGTGTACTACGTTGTGATTTGAAATCTGTGGACAACACCAACAAGCTACACCGAAACGGACTGCGCATGCCATGGGCGCTCAAACGCAGCTTTTGCTTCTGTTCTGTAGGGATTACCACTTCCTCCTCCATCATTAGACCATTGGAAGAGTACGGTTCGCTTGTCTGACCACTTGAGGCGAGACAGAGATGATTAAACGGGTCCAGTACGTCGCTACCATGCTCATCCCGTTTGCGGAGCTTACTGTACGAGGACAGGTGCGCTAGGCTGCGATTATATACCCCATCATATTTCCACCTCATCATGACCAGGTGTCTTCTCCATGCTGAGATCGCTGCTCCACTTGCGGACACCTTTCAGCACACGCGGACACCAGTACCTCTTTGTGATGCTAGAGTTGTAACGAGTACCCCATCCCTTGTTCCTTGAACGGCGAGTGGTCAACATTTGGATGTGCCTTTTTCCAATGTTAGATTCCGAGAGCGATTACCCACTGGCAATGATATCTCTTACATTCGTTGGTCCCAACTTGCCTTGTGTTATACGTTTTTTACGATATCATATGAGAAATTGAAAACAATCAGGCTGTTAACAGGTGATAGCTAATTTTTAAACGTTTTGATCAACTTTCGATGGAGTTGTAACGATTTAAATCTCCACATGCTCCCACAATTCAGTATTTTAGTATCCCTATCTGTGATAAGTCCAAACATGGACGAAATCGGCCATGGGATGTCAGAGTTGGGGAAGAGCAACACCGAAATCTCTCTATTTCCAGTACGTTTCTAGTAATCGAAATGATCGAGGTCTATTTCAAAGTAAACCAAGCTCGCAATAGTAGTTGCGTTTCGCAACCCAGTCACGGCGGGTACTCCGACGCCCAACGTTGAATTCCTAACCACCATACCGATTGTTGCTTCCTGCTCTTAGTGAGCAGGTCGTCAGTCATTACCCGCTGAGTCTTGAGTTCAACTCCGGCTATCTGTACCTGATGAGTCCAAATGGGGATCATACCGGTCATGGGGTGCAGTGTTGGGAAGGTGCAACACCGAAACCCCGCACTGTGCTTCCCGTGTGACTAATTACTTTGTTTCGTGCTAGTTTTCACTTCCTCCTTTAAGCATCTTCCACCACACTGGACCACTATGTCTCTAGACCAGTTTTCAATGTGGTATTACTCTCTTATTGCTACAGGGGACTTAATCCTTCCTATTCGATACTGTTATCAAACCTGGATTTATTTATGAGTAATCAACTCGCTGTTGACCTTTACTACTTTAACAAATCTCGTTTGTGGATGGCTGATCGTTACGCGCTTTTCCAAACCTTCAGGTCATGGAGTTCAATTCAGCGTCCCCTGTTTCCAACCTGTGCTTACTTGCGGTCGCGTGTGTGGTAAGCCACTACCTCAGTGTTCTCATTTTTGTACGCGCCTTTGTCATGTGGGTAGCTGTCTTACTGAGCCTGATACCGACAATGCGGAATCTGCAACCTCTTTCAAGTGTTCCCAACCATGCCAAAAACCGCGATCAGATTGTGGACATGCTTGCAATCTGCCTTGCCATGAAGCAGAGGGGAAGACCTGCCTACAGGCCGCTTTATCCACTAAGTTTACTCCCGGGAAGTCGCTCAATGTCGCCGTTTCCTCGCTGTGGCCCCGTTGTCAGTACTCCTACACCGTTGTGTGCCCTTGTGGCAATCGGAAAGCCAAACAGACGTGTCACCAGGTACGCCATCCCATTTCACTATTCATTTCCAGACTCATTTTTGCCTTCAACATCTTCACATATTTGACGATAGTTGTACTTTTTTGTTGCATTTGCGTTTGAGGAGGCTTGGTGATCTGCCGTTCTGCTTAACTCTAAGCCCGAAGAACTTTCCCTCTGATAAATCGGTCACTATGGTTGGAACAAAGGATCTGCTCACCCTTCCTAAGTTCGTGCTTGTTTCAATAATATCCGGTTTGTTCAACCGTTTGATGATAGTGGCTTGTGGTTCACGGCATACGGAATGGTGGTCGAGCAGTTACCAAGATATAGCTACAAGTTATTCACTTGACATCCAGTGAATTCATCTTTAATCCATAGATCTCTATTAGTAATAATAATAATGATAATAAGGCACGTCCTTTTACGCATAATCAATGTTTTCGGTTGTTTCACTTTGTATCCACAGGATCTTCTAAATGTTAGACTACAATGAGGGTCATAATTTTACCATTGATAGTTCTCCAGTTCAAAACTCCTCATGAATATAGTACACTTCGTGGTGTCCTGACAGGGAGCTCCGAGTGCAAACGGAACCAAGTGGTGTAGGTATTATTCTGAGCTCCAAGGCTCGTTGCTTGATTGGATTCCGGTGAACAGCCGTTTAGGTGCAGCCCGTTTGACAACATCAGCCAAGGTTGATTCACGAAGTAGTACGAAATGCTGTTTGTTTGTGCTTTCCGTTTATGGTCCCACCGACGTAGTTTTGCGGTCAAGGACACATTCTACCAAGAACTGAACGCGCTACTACGCGGTGCTACTAGTTCAGATATTATAATACTTGCAGAGGATATGAACGCACAAGTAGAGCGTCTGAGCTCTTCAGAAGCTCAGCTGGGTGGTAATTATGGGCTTAACTTCGAACGGACTGATAACGGTGAGCGTCTGCTGCAACTGTGTGCGGAGCACCATTTGTTTCTTAGTAGCACTGCTTTTAGACACAGTGGGCGCCGAAGTGCCACTTGGCGTCCTGCTGTAGCTGGCCAGCGATGGACCCAAATTGACCACATAGCCATAAGTTACAGGTGGCGTGGTTCCATCCTGGATTGCCGCTCGTACTGGAATACTTGCGTCGACTCTGATTATGACTTGGTACGCTGTCGTTTCTCCATGAACTTTACCGGGAGGCGCACCAAGAGTCTCTTCCTATTGGCAACGGAGAAATTGTCTCAGCCCTCGGTCAGGCACTGCTTACCGAACTTTCGCTGTCTTGTCCTAATGACACTGAGCTTCAGTGGAATAGGATCTCGGCCGCTATGCACGACACAGGAGCGTCTGCTTGTGGCACTATCAATCGTCACCGCACCAGTCACTGAATATCCGAGAGGTCGGTGAACTTTTTGGAATCTAGAAGACACCTCCCGACTGACTCTGAACACAATGTGACTAGACGGGCTATTAGGCGTGAACTAAAACAGAGCCTACGTACTGACAAGGAAGCCTGGTGGACCAGTCGGGCTCAAGAAATGGAGGAGGCAGGAGCAGTAGGCAATTACCGCAAGCTCTTCCAGCTGATTCGCACCACTGGTCCCAGAAAACCAGGCGTCAGTGAGACAATCAGAGACAGCGCGGGTGCGCTGATACATAATAAGGATTGCCGTATGGCTCGTTGGGCGGAACACTTTCAAGATCAGTTCAGTTGGCCCTCTGCTCCCGAACCTCTTCCTACTCAGGTTATGCACGACGAGCCATGGAAGATTAGTTTAGAGCCTCCGTCGGAGGCCGAGGTCCGAAAGGCGATCACAGCCCTCAATCGTTTTCGTGCCGCTGGCCTAGACTCCCTCCCATCTGCACTATTTAAGGATGGAGGTGAGGTCCTCTGCAAAGCACTGACCTCCCTATTCGAACGTATCTGGAATGAAGAGGGTGTCCTGGCTGATTAGAGCGAATCGATTATAGTGTCAATAAATGAGAAGTGCAGTAGCACAGACTGTTCTAACCACAAGGGTATTAGCCCAGCGGCGGTTGTGATAAAATTACTGGCCTCGATTCTCGTTCGTCGCCTCACTGTGGAACGGGAATCTCGGATTAAGGAAGTGCAGGCCAGTTTCCACCCAGAACTTGGCTGTATAGACCATATATTCACTTTGCGGCAGGTGCTAGAGCAGCACCATACATACCGCAGACCGACAATAGCTGTGTTCCTCGATTTCAAGATTGCGTTCGATTCTGTTCGAAATACTTGCGCGGACAAGTCTTCCCACGAGATATGTGAACATCCTTCGTGCTCTATATTCTAACACTACAGGCAGCGTCAGAGTCTACGGTGGCTTATCGGATAGCTTTGCGACCACAAGTGGCGTTCGTCAGGGTTGTCCGATTTCCTCATTTTTGTTTAATTTCGTCGTGGATTCTATCATGGAGTGTTCCCTTGCGGAATCTCACGATGTAGGCGTTGAAGTGCTGCCTGGTGAAAGGTTAGTTGATCTAGATTATGCGGACGATATCGTCTTGCTTTTCGACGATGTTGCGGCAGCACAATCAACCCTGAATAGCCTGTCCAGAGTGGTCCCATTATTTGGTATGCACTTCGCACCTTCAAAGTACGAAGTGCTGCTGCAGGACACCAGCCACTTGATGAACCCTTGTCACTTGCTAACGAGGAACTCGAGGTGGTTGATCAATTCACTTATCTTCACAGCTGCATCAGCAATGATGGGCGCATAGAAACTGACGTGAGCTCACGCATTGCCAAGGCCAGAGCTGCGTTCTTGAACCTGCGGCATCTTTGGCGACAGAAGGGAGTTTTCCTCCGTCTGAAAGGCCGTGTATACAAGGCCACAGTGAGGGCCGTTCTGCTCTATGGTAGTGAGACTTGGCCCCTTCGGTCTGAAGATCTGAGGCACCTTCAAGTCTTTGATCATCGTTGTCTGCGAAGCATTGCTGGTGTCGGATGGCACCAGCGTGTCCGCAACGATGATGTGCGTAGACGAGTACTAGGTGGTGGTAATCATGCTAGCTCCCTAGAACAACAGATAGCACTGAATAAGTTGCGTTGGCTCGGTCATGTGCTACGCATGCCTGGTCACCGCTTACCTGCGAGGGCCTTATTCAGTCTACCAGGTGTAGGGTGGCGCAAGGCTTGAGGTGGACAGAAGTTGACTTGGCAGCGGGAAATGAAGTCACGGGTTGCCGTTGGTCCGTCTCGCCTTCCGGGTTGGAGTCCACATGACTCGCCTTGTGCTTGGCTTTAGAATTTACATGACATGGCTCGCAGCCGACATCAGTGGCGCGTCTGCTGCCGTCTCTTAATTGGATTGTCTGTTTAAAGTGTGTTTGGTGTTGAGTTATCTGCAGGGTAATGGCTGATTATGACGCGTGGCAGTGAAAGCCGCAAGGAAGCTGTCTCGCTGATGCCGCCTTATCTTTGCACGATAGCCAGCTGTTTGTGATGGTATGTTGTTAACACAAGATATAGGCGCCTTGACCCTGAATGTTTGTTTAGGACATTAATATTTTCAGGTAAGTCCCCCTTCTCTCCCTCTTCTTATTCTTTATTTCATAGGTCCTCATGGCTGATGTTCTGCTGTTGATGATGAAATGTGCAGGATTGGGATGCATCTTGATCAGAATGTTTAATTACATCAGGAACCGATCAATAAGTCACGGGGTCCTTGAGGTTGGCAAATTATGTACAGGTGAAAATCACAGCAGTAGTTGTAGGTCACTGTAAAACTAACGGACGTACAGACTGTTTTTGTACGCACAATTCTGGCTTGAGGTGGTGGATGTAGATAGCTTCCGCAATAGACAGGAGATGCTTCCGGAATCCGAGCGAGATACGTTCAGGGATAGTATAGAGGACTCTGAAATCGTTTTCCGCCCATGCATGACCACACTCTAGAGGGTGCGACAAGATGCAGTCGTCACTAGACATCCCTTAGCCTTTGTAATATCATCTCTGGATGTGTTCGCCAATTCTATGAGATAGGCGCCTCGGAGTGCGGTCCACATTATCCTGCACCACAGGAGCACGATTATAGATAAACAAGCATTGATCTAGTCACCGGAGGCAAGCTGTCTTTCAAATGTTTTGCGAATAAAGGCTTGTTGTAAAATACTGTACGTAGGCGAGCCGCAAAATAAGTCTTTTCAACAACGTTTTTCAGGCGTTTGGATAGGGCATCAACCGCACTGTCGCCTTTGAAAGGAGAATTCACCATTATTTCTTTCTTGGGTGCGTTCATCCTCAGTGGTTTTACCTAGCGTTCTTTCCAATGTTTGAGGGTGAATTTATCTGGATACCCATTCGCTCTTAGCCCGTCACCGATCTTCTGCGATTCTTTGGTAATTTTGTCCGGTGTTCAAATTTTGTGTTCACGGTCTAGTAACAGGCCCATGTTGTCGCACCTTCTAGAGTTTGGTCATGCAGGGGCGGAAAACGATTTCAGAGTCCTCTATACTATCCCTGAACGTATCTCGCTCGGATTCCGGAAGCATCTCCTGTCTATTGCGGAAGCTATCTACATCCACCACCTCAAGCCAGAATTGTGCGTACAAAAACAGTCTGTACGTCCGTTAGTTTTACAGTGGCCTACAACTACTGCTGTGATTTTCACCTGTACATAGTTTGCCACCCTCAAGGACCTCGTGATTTATTGATTTGTTCCTGTTGGAATTACACATTCAGATCAATACGCAGCCCAATCCGGCACATTTAGCACTTGGTCGTCATCATGTAATGTTTGAGTCTGATGAGAATTACCAAAAGGAATTCTTTACTCAGATTCTGCCTCTCTTGATTCATTTTAAGATGGGTCGTAGATTCAGTCAGTGTTTCCTTTCTAACTCACAACTTTTACTATGGTTGTAAAGTAGGCATAGCTGATTAAGCAGAGCATAGAGAGTAAGGACAAAATTGGATAGATCAATCTCAGCCCGCATTTCCTCCATGACCACACTTATTGGTGTGCCTTTGAACTATGCATTCCCGAGTAATTAATTAAGGAGAGCTGGGTGGAGAAAAGTGAAGGCGGTACTGTCAGCTATTCATCTTCCTTTCTTCGGGAGGGCATGACTCCAAGTAAAGACATTGTACGCATGATACTTTTGCGTACTTTTAATCAACACACTTATGTCTCGGTTCCCTCCTCAAACAGTATTTTTTCATGGCAATTTCATTACACCGTCACTCTCTTAGAGACTTATTGAATATTATTTGCGATTCACAGGCTCTTGTTCCAACTGGATGACGGTTCTGAATTTCATTGTGTCTCTTTAGTTAGAAATTTCTTCGGCCATTGGATTTCGTTTCGAACACCTGTATGCATAGCTATCTTGTTTAAAGTGAATAGTAATAATAGATGCAGATGCAAGTTTATGGACCAACTCACATATAATTGTTAAGCCAATATTCATGCAATTTTTCTACAATGTCTTCATTTGTAGCATCCTGCAATGTAGGACGTTGATCACTTGTTAGCCGTAATGAGACTATCGCTTGCACGTAGATGATTTTTGGGGAGCAACGTTGGGAAGCATTTCGCTTAGACATAGTTGCCAACTTCCCTGTGTTTTAACCCTCATGCGCCCTTCACCGGGCTAACCGTTGTGCTAGTCTCTCAGCATGTATTTAGGAGCGCAGTAGCGGTTACTTAGTTGATAAGCAGTTGAAGTGTGAATAGCTTACCGTTTCCCTCGCTTTACTCCTGAAGCATCGGGCAGTCTATTGTTAACCATCTCGCCTTGGTCACATCTATGCGTGAAGCTCTTTCAGCACTGGTCTAATAAGACATGGTTGGATAGTACGACAGTCGCTTTATCTCCTCCTCAGCTTCATTTGGCCTATAGATCTACCTCGTTTCTAAACTATTCTTGAGGACTGTTATGCGAAGGTATACTCTGAATTCTGGTCGATTACTAAGATTACAGTCGCTGAAAAAGGGGTTTATGTGGCGAATGACTCACTGTTTAAGCGCTCAATTTCACTACCAACTCCAATCCGTACACGGGCAATACGGGATGAAGGATACATTTAGCAGCTTAACCACCCGATGTCGTTCCGTGCATTCAAACTCAGTGGAAACCTTTTCCGCGAAAGGTGCTTTGATCAGGATATATTCAAAAATTAGCAAGTTCATGCTGTAGGTTCCGGTGCGTTCTGTTTCTATGCCGCGCTTCGTTTTTCGCCCGTTAGCTTTGGGCTTCCAAGAACCCACATATATGCATTCGTAAGCAAGTCAAAAGTCAACAACAGCATAACAATGCCATCTGTATCGGCGCTTCACGGCGCAGTCGCCCTGGGTATATCGTCGGTATTTGTTGCTTCATATCGACACGCATATCAATACGCATTTATCCATAAATCTTTAGGGAGACCACTTTCACACGTTCCATACGTTAGTTTCTGCCATCGACCCTGCGTTACAGTCGTCGGGTGTTTGATTAGTCATTTATTTTATGTTTCAGTCGGTGGACAATTGCTTCAATAATCAGCTTGCTTATTTATTCACGATTTGACAGTCCGCTATCAGATCTGAATGACTGGGCTAGCACACCAGTTCTCGTCTATCGGTTAAGTCACCGGAGAACTGCACGTATGAATAGATCGTGTGTGACATTTCACCTTTTACTTACCTGTGTGGACGGTGGAACACTAGTTTACCAGTTAGGGATGAGACATACGACGGTACAGTGCGACCAACGTTGTGTTGAACATTTCAACGAACTTCGCGGCGTCCCAGTGCTTAGCGATGTGTTCTGCTACTTGAACAGTTTGTTTGGGTTCTTGGATGAACTTGGCCTGTCGGTTGCACTCAGTTATTTTTAACCTTTTGAGATGTATTTTTTAGCCCTGGAAGTGTTGTGTTTCCCCGTATCGGCTCTTTGCCAGCAGAAATCGCCTGGAACGGTTGGTTCTGGTTCCGGTACTACGTCTTCCGTTGCTTCGGCTTTTCCCCACTCCGCGGCTCACCCGAACTAAGCGTTTCTTCCACCATCGTCATCACTGTGTCCGCCACACATCACCTACTCACTTCATTGCTTGTTTCTTCTCAACCAACATCTAACCTTCTTTCTTTGTAACGGTTACATGGTTTCGCGGCCACGCTTTTTTTCAAAAGGTGGGTAGGCCTATATTCCAGGATGTACACCAAAATGTTCTCTTGTTGCTCCACATGACATATTCCGTAACTGTGTTCCGTAATCGTACTGTTTGTGTGCGTTTTTGCTCTAATCCCATAGTGAATCTCATGACCGATATTTACAGCCAACGTTTGCTTTTTGCTCATCGCAGGTACAATTGAAGCGCTGCATAATGGCTCAGCAGGATGAGTCCTCTGTTCGACCTGAAAGTATACTCAATCCAAGTCTATTTGATAAGCGGGAGTCTGAACCTCTCAAACTACTAGCGTGCGACCACACTTGTACTGAGGTTGCCCAACAGGCACCCTCAACATCCGGCCAACAGTATCCAGGGACCGCTGGATGGAAACGCGGTTTTGATCAGGAAGCTGAGGCGACTATTGGGGACAAGAAGGATTCTTTTGATCCTCCTGAATATTCTGACTTCCTGCGACAGTACGCTTTACACAATTACGCCTTTGCCCTCAGTGTAGAGCGGCAGCTGTATAACATGGTGCTTCAGGTGAGCTTCCTTCAGTGCCATTGTCCACTGTCGAAATATGTTACTGCACTCGCTGTTGCCCCCATCTTTACATTCCGGGTCGGCTGGTTATCTATGCAAATTCTTACTAGGGTGGATATTACTATTATGCGATGGGATCCTTTTTCTGATCGTTGCGTATGTGGAGTTGTCGATTGTGGGTCAGTTTCCCCACCTCGGGACTAGATATCCTCCCCTATCCACACATTTCACTTGGATGCACGGCTTGGCTCCTCCCAACTTTCCTTATCCCTAAACATCTTTTGAACGTACACTGTCATGGATTCTGATCTAAAGGGTTTTTCTCCTCTTCTATACGCTCGTATTTGCTACATTAGCTGATTCGTCCACGTTCTGTACGCATCACAATGGCCTTCCCTCCATTGGATCGGCCGACTTCGAATACTTCGAATTTGTCCTCCTCTTTCCTTCCACCCACATGTCCCTGTAGAGGCGTTTCGCCAAAAAGCTGCAATAGAAAGGTAAATTTCCGATTGCCTCCGGTGTTCTGCAAAAGCACTACTTTTGGGCTCACCTACTCCCTCGGTGGCGGGGTTCGTTTTTGAGTGTGGATCCCTAATCTCAAACACTCGTTCTGATTTGCTCCAAATCAAATTGAACATTCTGAACACTGACTGTTTTCGTGCGTTATCCCCGGTCTACTTATCTACTCAGTCACGAACTAAGGACATCAGTTTTTTAACCGATTTGCCCAGCATCTGGAATCAATCAGTCCCGATGTACTCTCGGACGCGTGTATGTGTTACTCAAATTTTTGCCGTAATTCTATACACGACCTCCGTTCACATTAGGACTTTTCGACCCTGTTCCACCTGGCGATTCTGTCTAACGGTGTAACACCCGGTCTTATTTTCTACTGCCATCTCACTATTAATCAAGTGATCCTTGCCACTGTGTCTTTCCTTGGCTGAGTCGATTGGATGCCCACATGTAACTTGCTAATCTTCTATAGCCCCAGGCTCTCGTGTGTTTACGTCGTCTTCGTTACAACTGAATCTGACACCTTCTATGATCGATTTTTAGTTCTGGCAGCCTCTGAAGTCATCCAAAGGTGAACCACTTCGTTCTTTGGAGCATCATTTCGCCGCCATGGGCCCGAAACGTCGACGGTTTGTACGTGAATTGTGTGAATTCTACGGCATAGAGGCATACACCATGGATCCTGAGCCGAAGCGCCATATTATGGTATTGGCGAAACGCGGAAGTATTCGTTTACCTGGAGATACCACAGATCATCGCTACAGTCTGACTAACTGTCTGAAACGCGATTTTCCCGGCACTATACGTCTTCGTGAAGGTGTCACCATTCCAAAGAAACCCGTGAAAAAATATGGACCGCCTCCATTGTACACGGCACAGTCTACTTATGCAAGCATACTGGCGAATAGGAAGTGAGACTGCGAACAATCTCACTGCCCTTTTGAAACGTTTCACTTCGGCCAACTAGACTCCTGCCTTCTGTTTGCATAGTTTGTCCACCCACTATCAGATTTTTCTCTTTACTGTTCTGATGCTTAAAGCACCCATTCGAATTTCCTTATTCCACTCTGTAGCCATTTATTATACTGAGAAACTTGAAAACACGTTCCGCAACCACCCCGGTTTTTTTAACGCTCGAATAGATTATCTGGATTTATTTTTAAGCGAATTCAGTGCCAAGTTGAGTGCTAGTAGATGTTTATGAAGTTCGATACTGATAGAAAAAAGGAATTAAAAAGGAGAAACCTCATAAAAAACGAAAGAGAACATATAGGTGTACGAAAATATTCGGTTAGTGGCCTGAAGGAGTTGCTTTAGGACCGATAAGACTGGGGAAATAAGATAAATCTTTGTCGGCAAGTCCATCTATGTGAATTGTATCCCAATCTCACTAGTTTTGTTGAAAATAATGCCATACTTTTTCACTTTACTTGCTCTGACTACTACACTTCACATTGGGTCCCACCTTTGTTAAGATTTCTTCTGGTGGATATTGAGATTGAACCCTGGAGATTGTGTCAGTCGACAGTCGCATTTACGATTAGGCCACAAAACCCTAGAAAAACACGCCTGTCACTACGTGTGGGAGTTCTCATCATATATCTTTTGTAATCTTACGCGGAACTACTGCACGTACCTTACAACAAAATACCAGTATGCCTCAATGTACACAATCTGTTACAGAGTAGCCAAAAGGGAGCACTAGCTGGAACACCAGAGACCAAGTCATTTGATGTAGCTTGCTTATTGAAAACCCACCATGGCATGTGACCCTCCAAGAATCAAAAACAAATGCTAGCCTATGATCAAAATCCGTTATTAATGAATAAAAGGATCATTATGTATATCTCGTGTGTATCATATTTTCTTTGGCTAATTCTTTCTTTGCATTTGGGCTTTGGTCTTGCAAGGCCAAATCAGTTATGTATTATCATTTAGGTTGCGTCAGCGACGATCAAGTAGCTTTCAGTCTGTCGGCACAAGTTTGTCCAGCGCGCACGTTGGATTTACCTCTAGCATAGGTTGCGGAGTTATGTCTTGTGCCCGGACCATTGTGGATATCATATTATGCGTCAGTTAGCGCCACTAAACTTTATCGCACACCCAAGTATCAATACTCATTCGATTGGGTCCAACACATACTTTCTAGCTCTGTCGGACATCCCTCTATACTTTACACTTTTGGTGCACCCCCTGCTGAAACTTACGCGCACAATACCCCAATTTTCTAGACTGATAAGTCACTTTTTGGTATCAATAGTAAGGCCGACCTAAGAGCTTTCTGTCATGCTTCCACTTAACTCATTCTGTTGCTATAAAAAGGGGTTAATGAGAAAAGTGTTTCTACCTACACAGCCATTGTCGCATCGTTCGAACTTCTCTTGGGCTTAACGTGCTATCCACATTGAGGCGTATCCACTACGTCTATACCGTCGCTGGATTGAGTAACAGTGTGCAACTTCGCGCTTAACTCCCTGTGTCAATAAATGAATCATCTCGCCATCCACCTCTGAAAATGGGACTTTGAGTGGACGAGGAGAGTGGCAATGACGCCAGTCAACGGGCTATCTCTATTGCCGGGGAGCTGTAGAAGCTAGGATGTTTCCAAATACAGGAATTCAAGCAGTAAACAAAAGTTCGCGAAACATACGAAATCCAAAAAGCCGGACCAACAGAGTTCCATCAAGTTTCGTTCGTGACTCACCTAGAGTGCCTCCAAACAAGAACTACATGATGCACCTTTCCTTTTGTTTGCTATTCCAAATCTTTTAGCTTAGATGTTGATCTACAGTCATTTCACTCTCTTCGATTATGCCTACAGGACATACAAGAGCTTGTGCTACGGCTTCTATAGCCCCGACAACATTTAAAACATTAAGCGTCAATAAATCCACCCAGGGAAAATTATGTCAAGTCATCCCGCCGGTATGGCTTACAAACTTATTTACCATTAACAGTGATCTTACTCAGCTTAAGGTCAAAACCTAGTTGATCGATAGCTCTGTATCTGTTCTCCGCGCACTAGTGCCTATAACTGCCTTAATGCAAATGACGACGAGTCCTAAGGTCAAGCATACGTTACCCATAAGTACGCTTATCAAATCAATAGCCGCAGAATTAGTCCTCAGGATGCATCGCTCTAACAACACAGTGGTTCGTAATGTCCGCGATAATATTCCAGCCACTGCCTTACGGAATATTCTACTTAAGGTTGAAAATAAGTTTGGTACATAGTACAGTTGCAAAAGACTGGAACACAAAGTTCCAGTCGTGTCCAATCCTATTCAAATTTCATAGTACATCACCAGCCAGGGAGCTTATAAACAAATGTGCGCATAATGTTGGCCGATGCTACCTCGAAGACCTTGCAAAATTGCTGAAGGAAAGCCTTTACAAAGAGTACTTTTGCATAGACCGTCTGACTCTTATCTGTGATGCGACCCAATACCTTCCAGTGTTTTCGTAGCCACACGAGCTATTGGACTCTGATCCAGCTGCACAACTGACACATCTACTGTACAGTTACCAGTAGACGAAGTCACCCCTACCCAATCCAATCAGTACAATACTAATAATAATCAACATAAGAAATCCCATGTAAAAATAAATGCAGCAACCATAGTGTGTGATGTGGCTGAAAGCTAGGATGAAGGGGCTAGCCTGTCTCAGTGCGGTCGATCAGGCGATCGATCGAGTTGGCGAGTGAGTTTTTAAACACACAGTTAGTTGTACATTACCTCAGACTTGTGAATAGAACGTTTGTGTGCAGAGCCGGTGTGAGTTCTTTCTCGTGACGCGGCTGGGAAAACCAGGCGCACAACATAGTGAAACGGAGAAATCTCAATTCGAGGAAAGTTACGTAGATGCAGTTCCAAAACCCCGACGCGCATGATGTTGACATGGATCTGCCCACCACAATACCCCCACTCAACAGAATTTCCACGGCAACATAAGACCTTATAGTCAATACGCAGTCTATAAACACGTTATTAACTGAAACTATACTCCGGCGTCCAACTCTTTACTTTAAAACACTATTATACTGAAATTAACTCAATACCGTGAATCAGCAGGCCTTCATGAACCCTCTACTCGTCACAAATTTACAGCCACGCCCATGAGATCTACAGTTCTCTCCATGTAGCCAAGTCAAACAAAAACACCAAAGGCCCAGCAAGTCATCAGGAGTTCACAATATCCGTTCTGTCAATATCCTGACTATGTTAATCTCCAAGATGCCGTAACAATTTCCAGTGAAGCATCTAATGTGAAACCTCACATGCTTCATGTCACTAGACTACCTAAGGTGATATATGGTTATCCGGCACTAGTCTGAGTTAATTCTACTGATCAACCTATGTTCGAAACGCTTGTTGGAGAGATTAGTGCAACCCGAAAATCCATCACTTGTCAGACGTATTCTTCAGTGGGTTATTGTCTCAATCGTATCTTTCTCCTTCGAAATGTGTCTACTGCCTCCATTCTGAACGCATCTTGTAGATCTAGTGATCATTCTACGCTACCTATCCTAGTCACACACGTGAAAGATCTAGGGAGGCAACTCAGTGTTATCCCACCACATTAGGTCTTCACTCTTTTCCTAAAACTACTCAAAAGGATTCAAACCGAATTTAATACTTAGTCCTTGCTAACAAATACACTTGGGGGTGGCTGAGCTCTTACTCTATTAAGGGCAGGTTAGAAAATTTCCAACCATAAACCTTAACAATATCGGCAAATTCCATCTTCTGTCTTACATTCTCAACTATTCCAAGCTTTACCCTAAATACCCCAATTCTAGACATTCAAATCGAAATGCTTTATCGCCAGAAATGCACCCCAACATATTCAAACAGTTGGCACGCCTACCTATTCTAACACAATCCATCAAAGCGCCTCGCTTCAACACACACGCACACTTAGTTCTATGCTATCACTGTATGAACTAGAATTATTCTTAGTGATAATATGATTTATAAACGATGCTCCATAGTCTTGCTTACATGCTGACCAACACAACAGTTTGCTCGACTGTCAGAGCGCAGTACCTGGCGGTGGTTGCACTGTATATGTGAACGACAATCTACAAGCATAATGCTAAGCACACCTCTAAAAGACAGCAACCTTGAAACCGTAATGTGTGTCGCTTCAGAAAGTAGCTTGATAGTTTTGAGCTGTAGCTAATCTCATCCGCATCTTATTGCAAACGAAATAAATAAGCTGGAGCGCTTGTTCTGCTACTTAGAAGAATTATCTGTCAACTGTAAAATACTTGGTTGGCTGCAGTATGACCCATGTTGAATGGACAACCTACACAGCCCCTGCTAAATATTCGAGTTTACTTGCTCCCTTACATAGACATTAAGCGACACAACATGCTCATTCTCCCATCAGGGGTAACCGCATCTTGGACTTGTTCTTAACACCAGGCTTATCTAAAAGTTTTGTTGTTATCCTAGATAGAGGCCATGGCAACAATCATAAGATACTCCAACGCTCCTTCGAAAGGCCACACTTTAATGTTTTACTGACTTAAAACTATTATGGAGTAACCTGTGGAAACGTCTTTTTACCACCGACGAGGGGTGGCACTTGAGATTCACGTTATGAAGCTGTTGATTAGCACTATAATTCCCCTGCTTGGGTCTGCTTGGCAGTGAATTAGAACCCCTTGAGAAACTGGAAAATAGATGCTGAAACTGCACACAACAGGTACAAAGCCATCCGGTTCTTTGCCGTTGCGTAGTAATTTCAAGTCGATCCCCCTAAGAAAAACGGATAGGCAATCAAATTTTCCTGACCATTTCGTTGGATTTTAGACAAGATTATGTGCGCACAAAATGATTTCAGTAGGTGATAGGAAACAGCTAGTTGGCTAGAAATTTATCTATAAGCCCATTTGCAGGCAAACTGCG